GCACCTACCCCTGGGGTATCTGCGTCTGGCCGGGCTGTTTTGAGGCTCTACACTGTGTACTCGTGGGTGGTGGCAGCCATAGCTGCCTGTTCCTTCGTCAGAGTTGTCCATCGGCACTGAAGACTTCATCGCAGGAACTGTTCTTCATCAGGGTGGTTGGCGCTGGCCCTGGGAGGCCATTCTGATGTGGCGCTACTAATTGGGTGTAGGATAGAGAGTGGGGTGTGAGTTCTTACAGTGGCAAGATACTGGAACAAACTATGTTACGATAATTGTTCGAGTTGGCTCATCATCCGTGTAATTCCAATTGTTATCCTCGCAGGTTCTACTTGTGATTGGTTGTTGGGAGTTTGTCAGAGAGAGAGAAACACTGTCTTCTCCACATCTGTGCATAGCGGTATTCCGCTGCCTACTATGATCTGTGTGCAGTGCGGACTCTCCCCCTTCTCTTATGCATGTATGGGAGTGTATGAAATTGTCTGTGTGTGAGTGTCGGTAAAAATCGTCAGACAACCAAGTTCATAACGAAAGCCTTTACATAAAGGGAAATAAATAGGAGCTAACACATCACAAGCTCTCGCCTAGATTTCTTCCTGGTAGACAACATAGTTCAAGGAACGGTTTTAGATGTAGGAATAGGCAAACTCCGTCATCACAAGGGGTTGGACCACAACCCAATCTTCTTAGATCTAGTATTTGACCCAGGACTTCGAAAAGGAACCAGCTTTTTCAAGGTTAGGGCAATGAAGGATTCCATAGTCCAGGCCTGCACAGACAGTGATAGTGAGGGACTAGACTTCGGACCTTGTGGCCAAACTTTCTGTAGCAGCCTCCAAAGCATCCAGACTAATAGCGGCTTGCAGAAACCAAAGGGTGAATGATCTGGAGGTGGCAATGCCCAACTATTACATTCTACGAGGAGATTTGGACCATTACAAGAAATGAACTACATAACTAGCACACTCGGGAAGCAAATGTCCTCAGAATGAAGCAAGGGTAAAGGAATGGGAGGAAGCAAAGCGAATGACAAAATATGTGTTCCTAATAATTAACATGAGGGGTAGAAACTCAGCCATTCTACAGTTAAAGGACGAACAAGGAGTCAAATCCGACCCCAAGCGTATGTTAGAAATAGCAGAAAGCTTTTATAAGACCTTGTACTCATCCCGAACAGATGTCCCACCCTGAAGGAGAGTGGAAAAAGCAAGAAAATCCTTCAGAAGACACTGAGATAGAACTATCTCCACATCAGCGTGGAGACAGCGGGGCACACCGCACGTTTGCGCCTGGGTGGTTGGGCATGCCTAACCAATTCGGTCCCAGGCCACTGTTTGAACGCGCCTGGGCACAAACACTTTGGCTGAGAGTGAAGCTACTGGAAACTTGGTCCCGACATGGAAGAGCAGGCAGTGAGGCATTCATGTACCGGTGTGCAACGCGGCAGCCCTGCTTGAGCTTGGGCTCGCGGCCAGGGCTGTGCACTAGCACTGGGTGCTGGAGCGTGCGCGCATCAGGCAGCGTGTGAGCAGGGTGCCGCTGAGGGCAGTGCCATAGCCGAGCCCCCATAGCTGGGCTTGGGCTTGGATGAACTCGGTGGAGGTGGTGGTGGTCTTCGTGTATGAGGGGGAAGACGTGGGTGGAGAAGACGAGGGAGAGAGTGAGAGGGATGATGATGTGAGGAAACGTACCTGGTCTTGGCGATGGTCTACCGGGTCGACATCTTCATGTACTTTGGTTCTTGCTGCTAACGTTAACAGGTTGTATTGTCAATTCGTAGGCTGAGTTGTAGCTGTGTGATTGTAGTCTGGGTGCTGAGCGCCAAGTGGGAGAAAGGGATCTGGATACATACGTTGGTGGCGGCGAGAGTATGCCCTCGTCGACATTTGGATTCGGTGCTTTGATTCTCCGTTGGTGAATATGTGTGGATATTTGCTTTCTGGACGGCGTTCGACTTTCTGGCTTTCAATGTGATTTTGCATTCTGGATTTCTGTCATTTCGCTATCGCTCATTTTCCTTGCAATTTGGTATTGGAGCTGGTTCGAGCTGTCCCGCTGGCTCCTTCGCAATTGCTGTTTGTGCAAGGAACGAGCCCTCACGGGACATACACATGTCCAGGGCAGAGGCCCCAGCAAGCCGAGTGCCCGTCCTAAGTGAAGGCGGGCCTGAATATTCATCAGAGGCCAAAATTCGACATTTTCATATAGGGGTATTCAGGCTGTTGCAGCCCGCCAGTTGGTTGAGTGGACGCGCGAGCCTCACTAAGCTGCGTCGTACAGTTGGCCCATGCCTTGGCAGTTGCTCCTGGGCACATACACACAAAGCAGGGCAATACATCATGAAGTGGCCACCAGCCTATGCCAAAGCAGTATTGTTGATGTACCTACCCCGGGGTCCTGTGCAAATGCAGCAAACGGCCCAAGTTCGGAGAGTCAGGCCGTGCCCAACTGTAAAAGGCCCAGGCCCTCAACTGTAGTCTCTGGCATGGGCGCAGGAACTGAGGCCCAACAGGAAGCTACTGGAAGCTTCCAGCCAGGCCACACGCAGCATCCAGGAGGCGGCCACCTCCATATAGGAAGAGAGGCAGCCCAGGCCAGGTATTCGCGCCCGCGCAGGCAATGCGGTCACGCTGCTGTGCTGCTGCATTGAATGTTGCGCTGCGACCAGAGCGCTTGCGGGGCGCGTTGAGGTAAAGTGGGGGGCTGCAGGGCAGCGGAGTGCTGGCAGCCATAATCGGGCTGCTGGGCACTAGGGGGTAAGAGGGCGATCAGGTGGTCTTCAGGGAAGAAGGCGAGCGTGTGTGGGTTATCAAAGTCTGGTGAGGGTGGCAAGATACATACCTGATGCATGAAGAGTGGTCGGCTATGGTGTTGACATCATGTACATTGGTCTTCGAGAGTCGAAGTGAGCCTGTTGCGTGAACACAGCTGTAGGTAGGATAGTCGAATAGAGTAGGCTAGGCGCTGGGCGCCAGACAGAGAGTAGCAACTTTGGATACTGTGTTGGTGGCCTGAGGGCTTGAACATTGGCCCATTAGTTCATTGTATTGGATGTATTCTCGGCGCAATTGTGCCCTCTACTTGGACACAACTACTTCGACATCTGTGTGATTTCGCAACTTGGTTTTCTGTTTATCGTTCACACTCATATTCCTTGCATTTGGTGCTTCGCTGCATATGGTGGGGCAGTGATAACGCTTGTGCGTTGGTGTGTTGGCGCCCCAATGTCGTGTGGGCGCGCCTGGAAAGCTACGTGGTGACATAGGGGAGCACGCTGGATGATGAGAGCTTGCTGACATGACATTTAAGCCGAGGTGGAACTGCATTGTATTGTGGGTTGTGCCGAGGCATCGACCGGCCATCATAAATGCACGTCAGGTTACTGGTGAGAAATCTCTGGTTGGGGGCAGCATTATTGAGGTACGTTGCTCCTTACCTTATCTACCCTCTTCGTTGCTTCTTACCATGAGGAAGTGAGTTCTGTCTTATGAGTCCTCTCATTGGAGGTGTTGAGTCGACATTCTTCCTAGGGAGCAAGCTGGTGGGAGACGGGTGTTGCCTCTGAAGGGCCCTGGATGAAGCACTCGGGTCACGGTCACCATGCCACCCGCTGGGATTCGTACA